ATAAGTTTTAATACATTTTTCAGGGTTTTTTATTGTTTCCATTTAGTTAATGGGATGTATTACACTTCTTGTCAGCAATCAGTTTATTGTACTCCAGAATCATATTTGAAATCAATTTCTTTAGAAATGTCAAAACTAGGGAGTCAGAGCAGTGACTTGCTTGAGCACTTCCCCAAACCTCTCCAAATACCTATAAAAAATGGCTCTAAACAAATTCTAGAGCAGCAGAACCCACAAAAAGACAGAGTGAAACAAATTTCCAGCCCAAGACAAGCTGGATGGTTGATCAGAAAGGTATATCACGCCAGGCTGGGAGAGGAGCTCAGTTTGGTGTGGGCTAACAGGCCGCAGTGAACCTGGAGCAGGCCTCAGAAGACTGAATCACTGGCAGCTGTGGTGGTTTCCAGACTTCTCAACCCATGAATGCCAAAGACAACTTAGGAGGTCAGTGAGAAAAGTCTGTTTCTGCTGTGAAAGAGGAGCTACGTCTCAGCCTCAGTTCCTGAGCTAGTATGGCCCCAGGGAGGTGGCTGCCTCCTGAGTTTCTGGCCCACAGACTGAGGGGGAATTGAGTGGCTGAACAGAAGGGGATGGCAGGATTCTCTTTCTTTGCCTGTGTTTGGATCTGGGTCACAATTCTGAGGGGCGGTCCTGGGGCAAGGAGGAGCACTGGCTTGGTGGAGCTCATAGTGGCAGTAGAGAGAAAATCCTCCTCAGAGTTCCAGGATAGAAAGCAGTGCTTGTGGTCACTTAAGAGATCAGAGCACAGTCCAGGAAAGGAGTAAACACCTCGCCTGTTATACCCCCCTTGGAAGAACTGAAAATTTACAGGTCCCTGCAAGTATCTCTGAAAACAGCTGTACAAACCCCTGAAGCTTGGGACAGTACACTGTCCACATTCGAAGCAGACTCTTACCTTAACAAAGAGTTTAAAGCTCAAGTAATTGACCGGGATCATGAATAAGCAGCACAAAAAGAGTCAGACTATATTATCTTACTTTGGTGAAAAAGATAATCGAAACATACAACCAGAAGAAGACAACAAAGTCAAAGCTCCCACATCCAAAGCCTCCAAGAAAAATATGAACCAGTTCCAGGCCTTGGAGGAGCTCAAAAGGGATTTTGAGAAACAAGTAAGAGAAGCAGAGGAAAAACTGGGAAGAGAAATGAGAGTGATGCAAGAAAATCATGAGGAAACAAGTCAACAGCTGGCTAAAGGAGACCCAAAAAAATACTGAAGAAAATAACACCTTAAAAAATAGCCTAACCCAAATGGCAAAAGAGATCCAAAAAGTCAATGAGGAGAAAATGCCCTAAAAAGAAAAATTGGCCAAATGGAAAAGGAAGTCCAAAAGATTACTGAAGAAAATACTTCCTTAAAAATTAGAATAGAGCAATTGGAAGCTAGTGACTTTATGAGAAATCAAGACACTGTAAAACAAATCCAAAAGAATGAAAAATTAGAAAATGTTAAATATCTCATTGGAAAAACAACTGACCTGGAAAATAGATCCAGGAGAGAGAATTTAAAAATTATTGGTCTATCTGAAAGCCATGATCAAAAAAAGAAACCTAGACATCTTTCAAGAAATTATCAAGGAAAACTGCCCCGATATTTTAGAACCAGAGGGCAAAATAGAAATTGAAAGAATCCACCAATCTCCTCCTGAAAGAGATCCCCAAAGGAAAACTCCTAGGAATATTGTAGCCAAATTCCAGAGTTCCCAGGTCAAGGAGAAAATATTGCAAGCAGCCAGAAAGAAACAATTCAAGTACTGTGGAAACACAATCAGGATAACACAGGATTTAGCAACTTCTACATTAAGGGACCACTGGGCATGGAATATAATATTCCAGAGGGCAAAGGACATAGGATTACAACCAAGAATCACCTACCCAGCAAAATTGAGTATAATCCTTCAAGGGAAAAAATGGTCATTCAGTGAAATAGAGGACTTTCAAGCATTCTTGATGAAAAGACCAGAGCTGAATAGAAAATTTGACTTTCAAATACAAGACTCAAGTGGAACATGAAGAGGTAAACAGGAAAGAGAAATCATAAGAGACTTATTAAGGTTGAACTGTTTACATTCCTGCATGGAAAAATGACACGTATAACTCATGAAACGTTTGCCAGTATTAGGGTAGTTGGAGGGAAAAAATTGTGTGTATGTATATAGGTAGAGATATAGAGATAGATAGATAGATAGATAGATAGATAGATAGATAGATAGATAGATAGATAGATGGATAGAGGGCACAGGATGAGTTGAAGATGAAGGGGTCATATCTGGAGAAAAAATTAAGGGGTGAGAGAGGATTACACTGGGAGAAGGAGAAAGGGAGAGGTAGAATGGGGTAAATTATCTCACAAAAAACAGAAAAGAAAAGGCTCTTACAGTAGAAGGGAAACAGGGGAAGGTGAGAGGGAATGAATGAATCTTATTCTCATAGGATTTGGCCTAAGGAGGGAATAACATACACACTCAATTAGATATGGAAATCTGTCTTACCCTATGAGAAAATAGGGGGAGAAAGGGACAAGAGAGCAGGGGAATGATAGAAAGGAGGGCAGACAGGGAAAAAGGGTAATCAGAAGCAAACACGTATGAGGAGGGACAGAGCCAAAAGAAAGAACAGAATAAATGGAGGGGCAGGATAGGATTAAGGGAAATAGAGTTAGTTTTTCACAACATGACCACTATGGAAGTGTTTTGCATAACTGCACATGTATAGCCTATACTGAATTGCTTGCCTTTTCAATGAAGGTGGGTGGGGAGGGAGGGAGAAAATTTGGAACCCAGTTTTAAAAACACATGTTTAAAAAAAAGTTTTCACATGCAACTGGGAAATAACACAGGAAATGGGGTACAGAAATCTATCCTGCCCTACAGAAAAATAGAAGGGGAAGGGGGTAAGAGAAGAGGGGGGAGAGAGAGAAGGGAGGGGAAAAAAAAAATGTTAAAACTAACCTTAGCAGCCGCCTCATTTTCCGAGTTTACTTTCTTGAAAAAAACATTGTTCCCCACGCAGATTCTTCAACAATTTGGACACTTTAATTTGTTTTTCATTGGCGTCCAATTTGCTTAAGTCAAGATGTTTTGATTCGAAATAATGAAGATTGTATTCCTTCAAAAAAGCTATTACTTCTAGGCAAACAAGGCACGGTATTTTGTCTCTGGTACAAGTAAACAAGTATCAATTTGTCCATTCTGGATTAAACACTATATATTCTGATTTAATCTTGTGTTTCTTTTTATCACCCATTTTACAAATTTCCCCCCAAAACTTTAATGTTAGGACCAAAAAATCTCCACAGCAACTGCTTACATACAAAGAAATACTGAACTGAATGTTTGACCTTGGAGAGAACACCAGACACTCATGTAACTTGAAGGGCAGACACAAAGCAGGGAAGGGGAAGAGGCCCTCACATTGTTGCCGCTCAAACCACAACAGGCTTTGGTGCATGGCTGCTCTCACTTTGTCCCTGTTCAACACCAGTGACAACCAAAAACACAATGAAAAAATATGTCTCCAGTCTGAGAGGAGCGAGAGCCAGACCGACATTTCTAGAGACCAGAAAACTACAGGGGACATCTGAGATTCAAGATGAAATGTATTGATTAAATGGACATTGAAAGACTTTGACGGCAGTTAATGTTAATGGGCATTATTGTATTATTTTGTCTTTTTGTTCCACTATATCTATATGCTGAATTTTCTCAGTTATCTTGGTGTCATGTGAATTCCCCCTCTAAATTAGTCCGTGGCTTTAGATATTCTTGCTATGGCTCGTACTGTGATTAATCAATCTTGTCGCTCTTACACTGACCAGTTAGGGAAAATTGTGACAAATCTCCCATCGACAGAAGGGGGAAATTGAGAAAATCAAATGATTCTCATTCCATTTCATAACTGATTTTATTCTGTATCACCCCCAATGTATTATAAAATTGCCCAATCCATGTTTGTCTCCGAACTTAGTTCAGAAATTTAGCCAGCTTGTAATAAGTCAAGTTCAGAAATCCAGTTCTCCTACTAATCACCAAATCCCACTGATTCTTCCTTCATCTCCCTTCGGATAGAAGAAAATTGCCACAACTGTAATTCTCTTATAGGTCACGTTGTTTCCCTACTTATGCTTATCTTGCTGTTTGAAATGTGTCTCCAACACTGAGCTCCTCTGCTCCCCACCCAAGACAGCAAAACCACTGATGTACCATTCAGGGAACCTTGAGGAAGATACTGGCAAAAAGACTGTATGAGTAGGTCATCAGGAGTGGAATGGATGGTGGGACTGTAACACAGAATGCAAACTATTTTTTTGATGACTCTTCACAGAAAAGAAAAAATTTTAAAGAAAAAAAGATTAGTGAAATAAAGGGGAAAAAAATCAGTTATTCTTTCAGGGCATCAACATTCTCAGCTGCCAAAAATGCCTGACTCACCTAGATCAGATAGTAGGTTCATCAGTATAAAGCACAGGATAACATTTTGTGTGCTAATGGACCCCTTTGACAGTGTGATGAAACTTATCCCCCTTCTCAGATTAATGTTTTAAAATACACTTTTAAAAATACAAAAGAAGACAAAGGAAACTGATTATCATGAAATACAGTTACCAAAAGACTCAAGGTTAAAGAACGCCTGGAAGGGAGCAATGGAACCCTGAAAATTTCCTCCAATTCCTTCAGGGGGCACATATGTTCTTTGGATCGTTTATATGGGTCTGTGACTTTGCTGTTGTGCATGTCATACTCCAAAAATAGGTCACATCACTGGGAGAATGGAATAATGATTATCTTTGTCTCCGATTCAGCTTAGAACCACACATCTGTCAACTGCTGACAAATAACAAGATTGAGAATCACATGATACAATTCATTTGAAAACATTTCCCAAAAATGTTCAGCATTATACGAATGTAAAAGGTCATTACTACTCAGGTACAGAATTATCTGCTGTAAGCTAACTCAGTTCACAGATGGGCTCGTTTATTCATTCAACAAACATTTATTGCAGGTCAACTATATGAAGGCATTTTGCTGAGCACTAGGGGAAACAGAAAAATGAATTATATACAGTTGCTGCCTTTGAGTACTTTGCCCAAATTCACATGGCTAATAAATGTCAGGGCTCTAAACAGGTCTTTTGACTCTTAGCCCAGTGCATTAACCAGTCATAACACAGTGACTTTATTTCTCCAATAACTTGCATTGCCCCTTGAGAATAGGAACATTAATTTAAAAAAAAACTGTGAGTGGATATATTATTGGTAAATATTTACAAGCCTGAAATATGCAGATAAGTAGGTACCATACTAAAGAAAATCTTCAGATGTGTCCTTTGATAGATAGTAAAGAATGACTATCTTGAAACATGCTTTTTAAATTATTTCTTATTGAAATACTGTTCTTAAAAAAACAAAAAGGTAACCCCTCCCCCCCAAAAAAAACCTTTAAAATTTCTAACAAAAATTGAGCCCAGGAAATTGAAAATTCAATATGACATTGTCCTTAATTAATGTTGTTCTTTTTGTATTTTTCTCTTTACATCTTTTTTTAACAATAGGTAGAGTTAAGTAGTGTCTATATTAACTCTGAACTTCCTGCCTATTAACAGTCAGTGTCACCACCTTCACGTGATTCAAATATAGTTACTTTGCATGTAATTGAAGTACAACACACACACAAAAAAATAATTTGACATATAAATGGGGGAAGGGAGGGTGTTGTGCGGAGGGTGGTCAAAAGAGGGAACGAATTACTTAACTTTGTAATGATAATTACCTGAGCACAAAGAAGATTACAAGAACATTCTACACTGGATACCATCCAGAAAATTAAATCTATGTTGCAGCCTTAATACATCTGAATACTTGGAATTGGCAGAAAAACATCTATTCTATGAATAATGGCCCCTATGATCCCAGAGGACAGCAGCACATGAATTAAAAAAAAAAGTCTCAAGCCTTTCCCAAAATGGTGCTAATGTTCCACTGAAACTTAATTTTATAATTTACTGGCAGTCAAGATGGCAGGAAATAAAATAATTTGCTATATTCTGCACAACAAACCCTGCTTTTCCTAGGAAGGGGTAATTATCCCCATGAAAAAAAAGGAAGAAAAAAATATGCCATCTCATATTAAGCTAAAGTCTCATCAAGAAGAGAAAAAGTGCCTCATTACATGTAATTACCAGGGAATTAGAAACATCATTTAACTAAATGAGTGAATAATGCTCAGGATATTGAAGAAACTTGCCTGCACTTCTGCAGAGCACTCTAAGTCCCATTACAAAAATTGCCCCTCTTTAATGGAATAATTTTAGGCCTCATCTGCCTTGCTTTAAAAATAAAGAGCTTCAGAGGCAGAAAGAGGGCTGAAACTGCCACAAACAACTGTTGAAAGGAGCTGCAGAGCGGGGGTGTCTCTCCTGGATACCAAGATTTAGAATGATTCATAATCTCACATAATAATGGAAACTGATTCGAAAAAAGAATTACTCCTTTTTAATTGTACTTCCTCAAGACTGTGATAGAAGACAGATAACAGATGAAAGATTCTGAGGCTCAGAATGATACATCCATTTTTTTTATAAAGATAGTTTCATGCAGTGTTCACTCAAAAACAAAATTATGACATACCTGCAGAATGGCTTTTATTGTGGCATATAATGTCATGGTTTTCTAGCCACTAAACAGATACCAGGCTTTTTTTTTCTACTTTTGCTTTTACTAATTGCCAATTTTTATAACAGTAACTAATTCATAAAAATCTTCCTTCAAAAGAGGTTACTGTCATAATCCTAGTAACATTATCTGTTTTCTCAAGAATGTACAAGAGAAATGTGGAAACGAATCAGGTGAAGGGGAAAGAAATGGGCTTTCTTTAGCTATACTGAGAAACAGAGCTAACAATGATCAATATCTAAAAAGGCTTTATCATGGATGAAATCAGAATTAAGAAGGGAAGGTCCAATTCCATTCCTAGAGACCAAGACTTCAGAAAGTCTAAAAGTCCTCTACATGGTTGCTCATACATTGTACTTTCCTTTAAGGCAAAGGAAGACAATAGATAAAGCTACTTTCTTTTAATATGGCAATAATGTATTTATTTGTTTCCACTGTTTTGCTGGTCTTGCCATAAAAAATGAGATTTTTTTTTAAAGATAGTAACTGGGGGGGGAAGGGTGTAATTTTTAGATTGTTCTATACTTTTCACACACAGAGTACAATGTTGTTCAGCTTCTGTAAAACCCATGTCCCTTAAACTTCAGCCCTGGTCAAAGACGAATATGTGTGAGAGATAACATGGGGCCAGAAACACCTAGGTCCAAATCCTGATTCCAGCACTTAGTGGTCAACCCTGTGACCATGAGTAAGGCATTTAACTTCTGCAAACCTCATTATCCTGATCTAAAAACATCTGCATTACCAGGCTGCAAGAAAAATGGAATCTGAATCCCAACTCTGGCATCTGTGTGATTTTTGTCAAGTTCTTTCATCCATCTGGGTTTCCTTTTCCGCATTTGTAAAACAAAGGGTTGGACTAAATGATCTCTCTATGCTCCTTTCCTATAAGCCTATGAACTGAAGATAATTCTTGTACTACCATCTACTTCACACAGTTGCTATGAAAAAAGTGATTTATATATCATAAAGCACCATATATACAAACTGTTATATGACTATTCTTCCCCCTACCTCTTCTGTACTCCTCTGTCATGAAGATGGAAACATACTCTGAGTCTAGAACAAGTGACTGAAGCCAAGAAATAGCAGTTAAATGCTAAATATCAGTTTTTATAGTACTATAAGTAGTGCTCAAAACAGAAATATATTGTTAGAAAGTTTCAAGTTAGGTAAACAGGAGAGTAGGGAACATGAAGCCAGGCCTGAGCTACTGTCCTTGTGGCCATATGTGACTTCTTTTCTTCCTTCTGGGGCCTTGGGCAAGTCACTCCAAACCTTTCTGAGACCCAGTTTCCCTAAGACAAAGGAAGAAAAAACATTCAGTTATTTATAGAGAAAAGATGAAAAAGAATGAACTAAAAGCAATGAAAGACTTGAAAGATGAAATATGGCAAGGGCTGACCACAGACAAATGCAGCTTAGGCATTTTAAAGTCGCAAAATAAAGAGACTTAAGCTATAACTTATTGAAATCTCCATAAAACTTAAACCTCTTCAGGCCACGTAGCCACCCATCCACCATTAACAAGTTTTTGCCTTATCATGCCATGGCCCATTTCTTACCCTCCTTTCTTGCCAACACCCAGAATATTCTCCCACTTTAATGTAAGTTCCTTGAGGGCAGGGACCATATCCCTTGCTTATATTTGCATTTTTAGTGCACACGGTAAACACTGAATAAATGCTTTATCAAATCTTTCTTTATTCCAAAGTGTATGAGGCATAAAGAAGGGAAAAGTATGAGGAAGAAAAATCCAAGTTATAAAGTTCCAGTAATACAGGCTGATAACCATTAATTTAATTTAATCTAGTTCAATTCAACAGCCAGTTATTAAATGCCTAGAAAATGCAAAAGATCCTAAGGATTGGAGGGCAGGACCTGGACTTTTTGATCACTCCATTCTGTATCTGCTGCCCTTCCTGGTTTTTTCATGGAACAAGACTACACTAAACCAGGTTTTCTGGCCCCTTTCCTGATCCCTTTTGTGTGTCGTCTCTCCCTATTGGCTTGTAGGCTCCTTGAAAGCAGTCACTGTCTTTTTATTAATTGTATCCCCAGCACTTGGCAAAGTGCCCAACACACAGTAGATATTTAATAAATGTTTATTAGATTGGATTGGATTCTATAATCCGCAGGCCAAAGATAAGACCCACAAAAGTCCACAAAAGAAGGTCCTCCATAAAGTATAAGGAGAGAATGGAGAAAACACCCACACACAGTAATATTATCCCACTTAGAGCCACACCAGGGGAAATGCAAGGACAAAGCTTCCTTCTAGGTATAAAACTGAAGAACTTTGTACAACTAGTCTCACCACTTAGTTTCACATAGGAGATTCAACTGGAAATTTAGAAAAGATGAAAAAAAGCTGTTTTCCTATTTCCCTCTGCTGTTCTGAAAGACATATTATGGGTGCTTCAAGATCAAATAAGTAAATTGGAGCAAATGCAAAATAAATCAAACTCTAATTTGCTGTTGAGTTGTTTCAGTTGTGACCAACTTGGTTTTCTCGGTAGAGAAACTGGAGTGGTTTGTCATTTGCTTCTCCTGCTCATTTTATAGAAGAACTGAGGCAAACAAGGTTAAGTGACTTGCCCAGGGTCATACAACTATTAAGATTTGAACTCAGGAAGACAAGTTTTCAAGCCCAGCACTTTATTCACCATGCCACCTAGCTGACCATAAATTCTAATTATAAAGATATTATCCCCTGAATAGTTAATTTCTTTAAAGGAAATAGGCACTGAAGAGGAGGCTATCATTATTAACACTGGAAACCACCAAAAAGACTGTGTCGAAAGAGGCTAGGTGGCACCTTAGTGCACAGAGCCCTAGTTATTGTTTATCCGTTCTCATCAGAGAGGGGATGCCATGACATGCAAGTGAACTGGATTTAAGTGAGGGAGGACTGTGTGAAGTTACCAGCCTCACTTTCGCCTCTGGAGCCATCTGGGTCCAGGGGCAAGACACAGATCAGGACAACTGGAGATGGCCCTGGATTCTGTGGGAGACCTTGGCCTTTTTAAACTAAAGTCTTTGAAGGGTCTCAGTTTGATTGAGGCAAAGCCCATTCAGGCTAAGTAAGAAATCAGGCAGAGAATGGCTTCTTTACCTAGTCAAAAATAAAATTAAAAAAATCAATCTGGGAGGTGAAGATCCTCAGGGTTTCCAGCCAAAACAGAAACAACTGTTATTTACATTCACTCTGAGCCAATGGGGCCCACACAATGACCAAGTAGGACTCGGCCTGGAACCTACTGTTGGTCAATCAATGAGAGCCAGAGTGATTTGGGTTTAAGGAGTGGTCCTTAAGAAGAAAAAAAGATTTCTGCAGGCTACAATTTACTAGTTCCAGGAAGACCAGATTTCAAATTCCCTCTCAAATAGCTGTGTAACCTAGGGCAAGTCACTTAACTTCTGTCTGCCTCAGATCCTTCATCTGTAAAATGGGGATAATAATAGCACCTAACTTCCAGGGGTTGTTGGGAGGATAAAATGAGATATAGGTAAAGCACTTTGCAAACCTTAAAGTACTATATCATAATCATTATTATCATTATCCACAAAAAATGCAAGTTTCCATTTCTTTTGTCTCAGAGACAAGATCAAGTAGTTTAATCCTCAAATTTAGATTTGAGAAATGAAAAAATGAGTGTCTTTCACATTAATAAGGAGGAGAAATTTCACAACTCTTCTGGTGATTTCTGACCTCAAATATTTCAAATTAAATTAAATACTGCATAAGAACCAAAAAAAATGGAGGTTTCATATATGTGGCTTTTGTTATTAAAAAATAACAGAGAAAAGCATAAATGTAATTAATGTATAACATTTGTTACATCAAGAAGTCATGAGTTTTCGATATTATTTCCTGAATTCCCATTTTAAAAAAATATTTTCATTAAAATATTAAAAATTAAAGAATGTGTTCACTAGGTCAACTTACTCTTCTGAGATGATCTGGCTTTGGATGGAGGATGTAACAGTAATCTAAGTTCTTTGGAAAAAGGCATGACCCAGGGAATTATTAAATTTGGCACCTATTAGCTCTCCATTAAAGCCCAGAATATAGAGAGGACACTTGGGCTAATGTTTTGGTTCTGGCTCTAAATAGCTGCACTACACTATTTCTAAGAATCTTTCCAGTTGAGTCTTTCCTGAGTCTATGAAGTGGTATGTTCACCCAAGTTCACAACCACCTCCTAAGTTAAAGAGGGACTGGAAACACCTACATCTAAAAAGTTCTTCAATGTATTGAAGGAGATCCTAAAGTACAAAGTGGCATGCATAAAATGTGCTGTTCTTCCATGCCAGGCTTGCACTTTAAGCTATTTTTCTAGAAGCAGGGATAAGCAGGCATACAACTATTGACACAATATCTCACATCTCCCTAGTGATTAGTGGCACAGTTAAATATCAGTTGATCAGACTCAGACTCTGAAAACTCAAAAGTAACAAAAGAATATGACCTGTTACATTTGCATTGTGTTTGTACCTTCTAATATAAAGCCCTCAATTCTATCAGATAATAAATAGCAAGTATCTTAGAGGTGATGACAGGTAGCATGATGTAATGGAAAGAAATCTGGACTTGGAATTATATTGAGTTTATATAAAGAGAAAAAATCCCAAAGAAATTAAATTATACCGGAAAAACTGTGCAGGCTACAAGTTGAATCTTATGAGGATAAATCCCGTGACAACAAACCTCTTTATTAGAATCTAAAAAAGTTTCCAAGGCCCGGTCAATTGTTCATTTATTTCCAGCTTTGATAATATCCTAGCCTCAGACACTAAATGAAGCCAAGGATTTAATCCAGTCAACTTCACTTTATTCCACAGCTAGAGGCCATATGCCTAATTAATTCATCAAAAAGCATTTATTTAATAGATACTCTATGCCAGGCACTGTGCTAGGCTCAGGGATAAAATAGTCCCTGTCTTCAAAGAACCTCAGTTTAACAAATATGAACAGCCATGTCAATCAGCATAACCCCCATTCCCACCACTGGTAAATCCACTCAAAACCACATGCCCTTACTAAGGCAGCTCAGATGGGTCAGCTTCATTTGCAAAGGAGTGTGTAACTTCTAAGGCATCACATAACACAACAAAGGTTTGAGCACATGTAATCAAGACGCTGAATACTGCAGGAACCTGAAAGAACCCACAGGAATCCAAGAGGACTGCCTATTATTTAAGCATATCCCTGCCACTCTGTTGCTCTTAAATATTTGCTCTTATCATCAGCTTCAGAGCAAAAAACTTTAAAGAATGAAACCCTCCTTAGGGAAAGATAGCACTCCCACTTCAAAAAAAAAAAAAGGATTTTGTATAGATAGGAAAGTAGGTACATAGGTCAATAGTCACTCTGTTCTCTTGGTCAATTTTTTTTTAATCAGAGAATGAAGGAATATTTAATAATATGGGTAATTTGTTTCTGTTTGTTTTTTGCAGCATTGAATTTTATAAATCAGTTAAATACTTTTGTTAAAAAGAAAAAGAGATAGCCCTTCACATTTACTTCTAATCCTCTACCTCCTCTTAATCAAGTATAAGGTATTTAAAGTTATTATTCACATCTTTGGGAAAATCGTACATTTTAATCATAATTACATGATAAATATTTCATGGTATATATCTTGGTCATATAATTAGGAATAAAAAATGTAATCCCCAGAAGATGCTAAATAATTCAAACCACAGATAATATGATTAGGGGCATGATTTAAATGTGTTCAAAGGGTACACTAAAAGACCTCAAGCCTGATCTCCAAAGAAATATATTGCAACTCAGTTGTCTTTCAGAAAGCAAAAAAAAAACCTCTAAGTTGAATTGGCCCAAAGTGAGTTTGTTTTGTTGAATCTTGAAGGGAAAAAATAAAAATTTTCAAAGCAAATTTAAAGGAAAAAAGGAGGCAAAATTGTTTTTTTATTAATTTTAAAAACATAAATCCAAGTCAGTAACTTTTGGCCATAACAAAGGATAGGTTTCACTGATTAATCATCCTCTTTAGCAACACAGCCCCTAGCAAAGAGACAGACACATAGTAGGTATCCAATAAATTAACATTGGATAGATTAACTCATTGAAAAGTTCCCACTCCTATCCTACAAAGTAAGCAATAATTCATGTCTATGTACCCTTTAACAATTTATACAACCCTGTAACATAGTATAGTGCAAGTAAGTATTATGTGCAATTTTACAAATGAAGAAACTCACAGAGGTTGTGTGATTTGCCCAAAGTCACATGGCTAATAAGTGCCTACTCACCCCTGCAAGCCTAATGAGA